ATCTTCTGTTCATTTACCAGTCGAACAACTTTCACACAGGAGAAAAGTACCTACATCTATGACAAATCATAAGGGAGGGGAATAAATATTTTATCGACAGATAGTTCTGAAAACGCATTAGGTACTAACGCATAAGAACTAAGTATACTAAAAAGTAATAGCACAATTGAACATTTTTCAAGGCACTTCAGTGGGAATGCAAACGTTATTATTTTAGTAGAAGACGACGAGTAAAAATTATTTTGTTTGTTCCTTGTTTTGGTAACATTTTGTGTATTTCATCTCAAACTTAATATCTATATAATAACTTAACTGCATTATACATATAGACAATACGTCATCATCGATTAGACAATATAGAGAATCAATATATAGAACGACCCGTTTTCTATTTTCCAAAAAAATTACAAAAATATTATACTCAACGATGTTCAAGTCTCTATCGTCGTAATCGCGGGAGCAATACAATTGACGTTTACAAAACCATTTTATCGAGACGTATACTGTGATCTATATACATAATATACAATATATTATTATATTTATATATTGATTAAGTGTATATCTATAAACTGCATAATCTATAGAGCTCTTGCAATTAGAAACGCGGTATACAATCTCGAATTCTGACGTTGAAATAAAATAATAAATAAAATGTTTCGTACATTTTATCGAACGGTCGTTAGAAAATGTACGTCCTAGCAATAAATATCAATCGTGAAATTCAAAATGAATATTATATTAATATATTATTTCGCGTTCACATTATAGGTATTATTATTACATGATCGGGTGCAGCGGTGGTTGAAAAACTAGTTTTGCATATTGCTATATTATAATATATATCGCACCGCTCGCGTGTTTATACTTTTATAGAATATAATGCGGTATAGGCAGGTACCTATAAACTTCGCCAAACATGGGATATCTATACGGTCGTCGTCGACGACACGGTGCATGTTTCTATTATATACAGTGATATATTTTATCGGTATTCGTATCGAGATTTATATCACAATATTTTTGTAGGTAAATCGGCGAACGTTCCGCGGTGGTAATAATTATACCTATATAATATTAATATATTATAATATACCGTTGTGGCATAGTATGCACCGCAGCAGGTGTTACGCGGTTGTATAATAATGTGGCGTAAAGGTGGTGTATAATATCCTTATAGTGTTTTGCAGTGAAATTATTGTATTTATATACGCAGTGGACGAGAAACGCAAACGGAGGTCGAAAGAAGAAAGGGTTCACACGGTTTACGGTAAACAAAATGGTCTCGGGGCCGTAAAGAGAGTGGAATACAGCAACTTACTATACTGCACACATGTTACACGACCGCGAGCAGCATTGTCACACGGCGGCGAAAATGCATTTTTCTTTCTCGTCGCTGAGCAATAATATCGGTCACAATCATAATCAATCACGCCTATATTATATTATTATTATCATACCCACCTGTTTATATTTTTTTTTCATAATTGCCATTGCTATTGTTGTTATTGCAGGTAATTAATAACAATGATAATACCTCAAAACACTCCCTTCAACGCCACCTACCACCTTTTGTGTCGGTTGCATCGCTTTTGTGCCTCGAGTCAATCTCTGTGTAATATAATATTATCGTGTTCGACCGATACATATAATATTATGCCACATGCATAATATTATAAGGTGAAAATTATATAAGTTCACTAAAAAAATTTCAGGTTTTGCACGGATAATTTTTCCCGCACACATAGCTTTACCAAACTCATTTTGCGTGCAACCCTCGAACTACATCAATCCGATTGGTGCAGGGTATGGTGTAAAGTGGTTTTTTGGTTTTAATCAAGATATTTACCATGAGTGGTAGTCGTGTAGATGATAGATTTTATCCATTATCAATGTACATCAATACTATCATAATATTTATTTTAGTTGTATCGTTTTTATTCCCAAGTTATTTTACATTAAATCAACAATAAATGTATTTTGCAATTATTATACATTAATTATATTTTAATGGGTACATTAAGACCTGCAAATAATTCAATTTGCTCTGTATTTCAGAGTATTGCAATTTTTATAACAATCATTCACGAATCCCCATCGAAACCCTTATCGTTAAAATACGTGTCGGATTTCACGAAAATCGACTGCCGTCCCTTTTATTCTGCATGTACCATCATACCGCTGCTGGTATATGCAATCCACCAGCCGTGGTCTTAGGCCGACACGGCTTGTCCACTCAACATAATATTATGCCACCTTGCCAACTGCGTCATATTTAGTTATCTCCATGCAGTATAATAATTATTATATTAAAATATCGGTTTAAGTGCAATCCAGCAATATAAATATATATTATTATACACAGTTGAGTGTCGTATTGAAATGACCGCTTAAACGGAATACGCGTTCCCATGAAAGACGATTTTGCAATTTGCAATACCAACAGTATAATAGTTACCTACATAAAGATATTTTTTATAATAAATCATACTTTAAACTGGTTCCTAAGTTCCTAGTTGTACCTATATTAACCACTGCAGTGGACACTGGCCAATCGTCCGTGGGTTTTTTTCATAAAATATATTTATATATGTATGTATTATAATATCTGTGGAATAGAGTAAATATTATTTAAATGTAAAAAACACCCGGAAAAATAACAGGGGAAAATAAAATATGTGAACAAATTTAATAAAGTATGAATGGATTACAGTATTATTATAGCTATTAATAAATAATAATTAAATAATACAATTAACCGTTTACACCCTACTGTTCTCTCCTTTCAAAAACATTTTACGAGAACGATTATTCTGAATAATTTGTTTTTAGAAGAATAGAATCGGACAAAAGATTATTGTTCGTGCATTTAAACACTTAATTTGCGTTGTTTATTTTCAACTAAAATAATTCCATAACTTTTTGCTTGAATGATCCTTGTACGTAAATGTCAGTTTCGTTAAAATGTTTCTGAGTGTCGGGAACGATCAATAATATTAATATTATGTAGATAATATTATATTGATTATAATGTTCCAGTTAATTTGTTTATTATCTCCAACTCATTAATGGGACGTTTTGCCTAGTCTTATCCTCAATCATAATCTTTTTAGTATTTGTGTTTGTTCGGATATGCGTTTAATGTCAGTGCTTTGGTTTAGATAATATTATGCGTCATATTATGTGATTATAAATATTAACGTTTCGGTAAATATCGTGATTTACTCAAGACAATTTTACAAAGTATTTAAAATTAACTATGCAGGGATAAAGTGATATTCAAATGAATTAGAACTTAAAATATACATCGCGTGGTCATTAAAATGTATCTATATGTATTATATTAATATGTTAAAGGATTAAAAATGAAAACAGAGATATAATCTTTTGCTTGTTAAGCATATTTTGGGCTTTCAATATTCGTTGTTGTTGCTTCTATTATACCTAGATATTTTGTTTAGGGGAGGTTTTTGTTTACACTTATGGAAACAATAAATAGTTCAGCCATTTCTGCCTCATTATATATTGTACATATCAGAAATTTGTCTTGTACACAAATGCATTGTTAATAATGTATATGTACATAATTGCATTAGTATAATTTCGCATAAATTATTTTCCATGCAATAATTCAAGTAATATATTTTAAAAATATTTCCCTTTGATGGTTATGTGATATATAGTGTATAATATAAATATAATAAATATATTTAAATTATATTTAGAATACGATTCGATAGTTTTTTTCTTAAATGATTTATTTTACTGTTTGAACTATTAAGACAACTTTAACTACTAGGTATGTTAATAAAGAGCTGCTGGAATGTCGATTCCCAAATAAATTGTTTGACATTATAATATTATGAACAAAAAAACCGTGTTTTATAATAAACAAATTTAAGTAATACGTTGTTAAATTTCTAAAATGATGACTGAATTTATTAATATATATCAAACGATTTTATAGAATATATTTTGATTAATAGATAACGGGTTGTTTTCTACTTCTTGAAAATAATAAATATTTCATTTTTGGGCATGTCATAACTAATAGCCTATCATAGATGATAGATGATAGTATAGCGAGTTGACAGTAGAATGTGCATCGACGTTTTAATTTATATACACATTACACCCTATATAGTATTTTAACAACTTAATTAAATGTACATATGTTATGTGACTCATATAAAAGTGTAATAGGAAACATTATTAAACTATAAATTACGAACATTCACGACATTCAATGGCTTAGTAAAACCCGTATGAAATTTAAAATGAAATGGAACACAAGCACAATATAAAAAAATTGTTTTTTTTCAATTTTTATTTTAATTTTTGATTGGCTTGAGTGTGTATACGAGTGCTATAGTGCTATGCGCGTATACGTTTAACTCCTGTCGAAAACCACACTGGTTTACGCGTGATTAGCATAGATTGGGACGGTGTAATAACAAATAAGTCCATTTAGAGGCGAATTTTACTGTCACTCGTAATGAAAGTATAAGCTCTGCGTAGGTAGGAGGATGAATTAGGGTGAATACCAATGTGTGTGTGTGTTTTATAAGTAAATGGCGAAAATACGTATGTGTGGGTCCTCAATATAATATATTAAACATTTATTTGTTGAACGACTACTCCATAAAGTTTGGAAAAATGAAATGCATTTAATTCCAAACATCGATTTAAAAATATGAATAAAATGGTTGTTGGATTGTATTTTCTAATAAAATCTGGGGAAGGGGTGTACAGCCATGCTTTTGAAATAATGTTGAATTTAAATAATTTTTTAATTTAATAAGAGTATAAATATACATTAAGCACAAATATAGGAATATGAACAATTGGTGGTTATAATGGTAATAGTATGTCGTGTCACTCCCTTAACACCCGCCCCTCCCCAAAAAAAAAAAAAAAACATCATTTCCCTCACACAAGTATCACTCTGCATTATATTGTGTACACTGTACCTAATCTTTTACTGTTGTTCTAGATGTGACATGGGCAGACGCAGACCAGACTGGTGGTTGGAACAGCAACATCAACAGCAGCAACGGGACTTACTGGAGGACGGTTGTCCCAGGAACGCGGCCAACGCTAGGGAGAGGGCTCGGATGCGTGTGCTGAGCAAGGCGTTCGGCCGACTCAAGACTACACTGCCGTGGGTGCCGGCCGACACCAAACTGTCCAAGTTGGACACTCTTAGGTTGGCCACCACATACATAGCCCATCTGAGCTCGTTGCTGACGACTACCGAGCGGTCGGACGTCGCGGACCAGGGAGAGACCGTGACCCAGGTTGCGGTCACGTCCACGCAACCACTAAACTACGCCATGGTAAATCTTGCACCATAATATATTTGACTACCGAGTAAATGCGTAATTGGTATAAGGTACTATGTAGACTATTAACTGTTGTCACAGGTATTATTATCCCCAAATTGAGTACCTACCTAATGTGTGTTATTCAGCTCAATCAGCCTTGAAATGTCCAATCTTGTCCATGGACTTCTTACTCACCTCTAAAAAAGGTTCATATTCAAAAATTACAAAGTATGGAATATGAAATCCCAATTTCACTAATGATAATTATTATATATGTATACATTATTATATATACGTTGAACATTCTTGAAATATTGGTTAATGATAATAATATATAGTGGTCAATAACACGTAGGTACACTGATATTATTCCGCTGACGTATTGTTAGTGTATTTAGGTTTTTTAAATCTCCGAAAACGATTGATACTGCTCTAGCAAGTGACTCAACGCAGTGAAAACAACAATATTAATATCTGATGATAATAATAATAATAATAATACTCTAGTAAAATCTAAGCGTTAAGAGTGTAATAGAGATATACGTGTTAACTATGCACACAATTAAATAATCAAACCGAAACAGAGTGACAAAAATATGATATCTGCTACCACAATAAATTATTAATATACGATGTACAATGTACATGATACAATAACAATTATAATGCTGCAGACTTCAGTGACGAGTTATTAACGTGACGACAAATTAACGAGCTTTTAGTTAAATACTTAACTTTTATTAAATTAGCCGCTGTTAAGTGTTAGTTTAATATTGCAGTCGGAAATATGTGCTAAAATAATTAATGTACTTGGTGTTCCTGTTTTACCAATGTTAGTTATTATGAAATATACTTATTTTAGATATATGAATTAGGTTAGGTAGTTAACCATATTCATCTATACGTATTGGAGTCAAAATGGTTGCACCTACATGTAAAAATAAATATAAAATAAATATATATAATAATAATTAGTAAATAATATATTGTTTTTACTCTGGCACGTATTCGTGCGAGCATTTTAAGTTTAGAAAACGTGTCTATACTATTTTAATAGCCTCGATTCGAATCTAACTTCTCCGTCACGATAGTATGTGCGATGTAAGATTTTCACAATTTATTTAGCGTATTATGGTTTCTGATGTCATTATTATGTGAAGTAGCTATACATGGGATAATAATGTTTTCATCATTTATTTGGGGCACGAACGTGCGGACAAGGGTGGCAGTATCATATTAATATAGGTATTTTGCTTGAATAATAATAAGATATTACCTATTATAATGACTGTTGTTTGTGGCGCTTAATTGAAATTCCATTTCGGTACAATTGATGGCCCGAAACCGAGATCTGGGCAAACCGCGAATGCGTGTCGTCGTCCGGACGAGGATTGCATTTGTTTGAGTTGTCAAGTGCGCCGACGACGGTACAGTGTCTGCGTAATAATTGTTTATATAATTCGCCTGCAGTTGCCGTGTGTATATTGTAGGTACGTATTTAAACATCTAAGACAGCTCGAGTAACATTCGGACATGATTGGATGGACCCGGGACCTCCAGTCCGTAGTCCGACCTTACCATATTTTGAATTTCTTGAGAGAATCGCATACGGCAGCTAATTATTATTTTATTTAATGTACTATGTATCTATACAATAGATTCATCTATAAATAAAACCTTATTTAAAATAAATAAATCCAAGTGAGATGTCTTTGTAATTGACGGTAGGTATATAATATTATACTGATGGCCTCGGACACTGATGTATTTATCTTTTTTTATAGATTTATATTTTTGGATCAATAATAATAATAATAAAAAAACGATGGATTGTACTAAACATAATATTATATCCACTTCGAAGCATACATATATACACAATCAGGGATGAGACATAAATGAGTATAAGCATTCACTACATCGAGAGTCAAGCCCTCCCTTACAGAATCGTATTCAAGTATACCGCGGATATAAATTCCTAGTTGTTATGATTTAAATACTACGAGGGAGACATTCAAATAAGTATTACAATTTTCGAATATATTTTCTAGTGTTTTTGTGGGGGGGGGGGGGGTTATTTTGAAATCTCTCTGACTGAAATATTATTTCTACCTACTCATCGTTTGCCGCAGCCGATCTATTGGAATATAACGTACAATCTAGACGAATGTTAAGTATAATATTGCCGGTCTGTCACGGAACATTAAACGATTCGACGAGTTTGCTCATTTTTCCTTTGTAGAATTACATATATTTACATAATAATATGGACCACGAAATGAGCAGTCGGCCGAGTGACTTTGCGATCACTATATTATTATGATACTCAATATGACAGAAATATTATCATCACGTGATATCCTCTTTTTATTTTTGTCGGACAACAATAATAAGACGTGTTTATAACATAATGATATTATCGATTTGATTTTCACGCTGTTATTCGACGGTAGGAAGTAGTTTCAGTTTACTTTTAATTGCCATGGCTAATGTGGTTTCTCCTATCGTTATAATTAACAAAAACACCGTTCGCAAATCGAAAATGAATGCCACTCCAACAAAAAGAGCCCTCTCATCGTCATCGTCATCACCAAACTCTCCGGTCCACGAAGACAAAAAGAGCAAAGTTTTTGTTTCCCCAAACCGTTTTGAAGTCTTAAGAACGGAAGACGAAGAACTTGATATCGCCAACCTCCCCGTCTCACCATCCAGCGTAACGTTGCCAGTTCAGAATAACCTCAAACTTCCTAACATCGTCCTAAAAAACGTAAGTGACTTTACTACTCTCAATAAGGATCTTACCCGTCTGGTGGGCCCAGAGAGCTTCACCTGCAAAGCTAAAAAATCCAGTTTAATTTTACGGACAAATACACGAGCTCAGTATGTAGCCATTAAATCTTATCTGATCAATGCCGCCTGTGATTTTCACTGTTATCAACCCCGCGCTCTCCAACCGTTCCGCGTTGTATTACGTCACCTCCACCACTCTACCACCACCGAGGACATCATTAATAGCCTAAGAGACCTTGGACACAAAGTTATCAGCATTTCAAACATACTCAATCGTACAAACAAATCGCCACTTCCGTTATTCAATATTTCCCTAGCCCGCAACAGCAACAACAACGATATTTTCAAAATAAACAAATTGTTTAACTCAATTGTGAAATTCGAGCATCCGATAAGGCCACTTGGTCCTCCCCAATGTCACTCTTGTCAAATGTATGGACATACACGCAATTATTGCCACCAACCTCCGCGTTGCGTGAAATGTGGGTTAAGCCACCTCACCGAAGATTGCTCTAAACCACGGGAAGAACCCGTTAAATGCGCCAACTGTAACGGTAACCACACTGCCAACTACAAAGGTTGTCAAATTTTTAAAAATTTACTAAAGCGCACCATTTACAAAGTCGCTTACAAAGCTGACAAAGTTGAAAAACCGAAAAAACACCCCAGCCCACCATCTGCTGTACCTGTTGCACCACAAATCTTCAACGTCCCCAGTTACAACTCAAATCAAAAACCGACATCTTATGCCAAAGCCACAGCCAACTCTTCATCAGTCAATCAACCTCTCCACATCATCAACAAATTTATTGAAGATTTAAAATGTATTTTAAACCCTCTTCTATTGGCTCTTACTTCCCTAATTAACAAAATTACACTTCCCATTTCGTCCACTCCATGACATCCCTCACCCCAAGTTAGAGGGTACCCACACTGGTGGGCCTCCCTCCTCAAGCCATTCATGTTATTATTGTTTCTTTCATTACCTAATTTACTTATTGTATCATAAAAATTACAGATTGTAAATATTCTATTTATCTAATAAAAAAAAAAAAAAAAAAAAAAGGAAGTAGTTTTTTTGTTTTTGATTTTACGAACTACGCGCTATGATGACGACTGCAAACTTTGCGGTTGGCGCTTGCCCTTCATATTATAATTGTTCCATATGGCCATTTACCAAGTACATTGTACTCGTTTACAATGTAGGTACATAGGTTATGTACTTGATAAGGTAAATGTAATTAATAATATTATACATTTATGTCTTCTGTGCATTAACTGCGCGATATTGCATTTAAAAACAGTTAGTGCGTACGAAAATAATAAATAGCCCGATTCTGTCGTACAGCATCAGTAGTAATAAATTGTTCGGCGGGATTATTGAATTTTTAAATCTAACGACCATGTCCTGTAGGGCGTAGTATATTTAAGTTCTTTCTTGTTGAAATAATGTAATTTCGTCCAACCGCGCAATATAAAACAATAATAACGACTTAACTTAACACAAATACACAATTTAACCGAGGGCTCGACAAATCTTCATCTCGTGTAGAAAATTGGCGTTGTTGCAAAAGGGAAAATTATATTAACTCGCTTATAACTAATCTATTGTAAAGTGACGAACTTTATTAATTTTGGTCGAAATATTGCTCAAAGTGGTTGGTTTTTCAGTGATTGGGCCGGTTAGTATATTATGTTTTTTTTTCGTTTTAATAGATTTAAATTCTTAAAATTTATTTATAATTATTAAAATGTTCGTTTTGTAATACTATATATTAATCACATCATTACTAAATCGAATAATAAACCTGACTCGTTTAAATTACTTAACTTAATTCAATTTGTTCAGTACCTATTAATGATGTATTATATTTTCGAGTAAATTAGCAAACTTTATTTATTTGTTTTTCGTTGACTAAACATTACAAATTTGAAGTTGGAATTATAAATAAATAATAATAAATCTTTATAATAGTGATTTATGTTTCAATGTTAATCAATAATGTACAATAACTTTAATTGGTTTTATATTTTTACGATTGATTCAAATAGGTAATAAAATATAAGATAGGTATCTATCAGATAAAAACAAAAAAAACCTATTCAAAAATTTTAAAATGATTAGTTATTTTAGTTGAAGTACGATTCCTATAAACTATAGATTAGATATACGTATTTTAATATACACGTTTTTACGCTCAATATTATTTTTATTTTGTTATTTAAATCATATTTCATAT